TAGAGTTTACTAGTGCCTTATATAAAGTTTTGTAATTAGGGTTTGCTTGAAAGATCTATTGAATAAATTGGCAGTGATTTATGTTTTGACTCTGAGATGAGGGATTTATAAGGGGGGACCCCCCCAAAATGAAATTATCTTTTGGAGGGTGGGCCCTTTGTAGTACAGGGTTCCCTCATTAGGTAAGTGTTCTAGGAACCCATTGGCATCAGTGTGCCAGCTAGTGTTGTTGTGACAGACTGTGTTGCGGAAGAAACGTCCTGAGTTGTGGCAAACAGGTGACTGATTCTTCCACTACGACAACACATCCGCCCACACTGCACTGACTGTTCAGCAGCTTTTGACCAAAAATGACATGACCGCCCCTCCCATGCCTCCCTCCTTATTCACCTGATCTTGTCCCCAATGACTTTGTTTTTTGTTGTTTCCTCAGTGAAAAAAGTCCTCAAAGGGAAACGTTTTGCTGATGTGGAAGAGGTGAAACAACAAACAGCAGAAGCACTACAAGGCATCAAAATTGATGAGTTCAACTGTTTTGAGCAGTGGAAAAAGCATCTTGATAGGTGTATTGCATCAAATGGAGCATATTTGTGACTGAAGTTTAAACATGTTGGAATAAATACACAATTTTTCATAAATAAATTTCAGGTTTTTGGAGGGTCCCCCCCCTTGTGTATTGTAACTGAAGAAATGAAACTAAAAAGCTGAAAAAATTCAATGACATTGTAATGAATGTGAGTAGAAGAAAAAAATGAACTGAATTTATTATTAAATTTTTTAAATTATTTAATAAAAGGAGTTTTTCATATTCTTTTGTTAGACTAACACACCAGAGGAATTTTGGACCATCAATTATTTCATCCTCTCTTTCTGTGCCATATCTAATGTGAGTTCTTTCCCCATACTTCCTTTCTATCTACAATTGATTCAGAGTTCTCCACATCTTAGAAAATAAGTTTTAAAATCTCTCACTCAACCCTGCAATATCTTAACAGGTATTACATACTTCAGAATTTACCCTTTATATCTTTAAAAGAGAGAGCAAAAGAGATAAAATAAATTATTTCTTCTACTACTTAGTCATCCGTTTCTTTTCAAACCACTGCTATCAAAAATAATCATTTTTTATTTTCCTCTTTATTGTTAAAACAAACTATTTCTAATTTTCCTCCCACTTAAACCCTCTGCATATTTATTGTGATTTTTAAAATGTTTTCGTCATTGCCATTGACTTTCCATTACTCTTGAATTTATTGTCTCTTTCTGTCCAAGATGCCTCTCCTTCCTGCTTCTGCCGCTCTCTACTATCCATTTTCAGTGGCTCTTATTGGACTCTAGTTCTTTCTGCCCCTCAGTTGTTGATATTCCCTATGATTCTGTCCTTGCCACTCTAGTCTTTTGTTCTTTTTTCTTCTCATTTTACATTCCCTCCCTCAGTGACCTCACTCTCATAAATTTTAGCTACAAGCTATCTATTTTACTTAATTATTTAAGTGCTTACTTTACTTATTTAATTACTATGCCAATAATTCCCTCATACATATACGTAGCTTGGAATTCTTACCCCAGTCCACATCCTGCACATGCAAGTGTCTTTGGACAGCTCCAAATATATGTCTGTCCTCCCCTTAAACTCAAACTGAATTCATCACCTCTCCTATTCCTCCTATAGTTTCTGTCTCAGTTTATGGCAACACCATCCATTCTGTAGGTTGACAGAACCTAGTCAACCTACAGTCAATCTTTCTTTTCTTGTCTTCTCACGTGTAATCAATCACCAATAATGTATACTCTATCTCCTCATCATCTTTCGCATCTGATTCCTCTGCCTCATTCTTACCTTATTGCCTCATTTCAAGTTCTTGTGATCTTGTGGCTGGACCAGTGAAAAAACTAGGCATCAGCGCATCCACTCCTTCAATCCATCCTTTTCATTAAAGCCCACATGGTCTTCCAGAAACACAAAATTGATTATATTTCACCCTGTTTAAATTCCTCACCGATCTTATTTTAACTATTGAATAGAGTTAAAATACTTCAGTATGGCCTAAAGGCCACCCTTAACTTGACAAGCTCCTCGTCCACCTCTATACCGCAGCCATGCATATTGCTTACAGTACTCTAAGAGCACAAAGTTATGCAAAACCTTCATGGCTTTCCTTTCATGTGTATCTCTGCCGACTGCACCTTTCAAACACCCTCACCACCGATGCCATGTCTTGTGGAACATCAACTCAATGGTCACTCACTCTCTTAAACCTTTCCTGATCTCCTCTACCCAGTTAGGTAGAACTAACTAAGCTCTCAGCTGCGCCTCCTTCCACACCTTAGTACATTTATAGCTTAGTTAAGAATTGTATTAGACTTTCAGTTTCTTTTTAAGCAGGGATCATATCATAGTCAACATTATATCCTCAGTATGGGAATAACATGATCCCAATCAATCACAACTTCGCATTTTACTTTTACTTACGATATCTTCAATTATTTGGCATTTTTAAACACAAACATGTGTGTATATATGGAGTTTAAATTTCCAGATGTTCATATATGTGGCATTAAGTTGTGGAAAGTACACAGTTATACATCACTGTAAATCATGAAAACATTTTCTCCTTCTTCCATTTTTTACATTCCTAGCAGAGGTAGCTCATCTTATGCATTTATCAAGGTCTCTGATCTATTTGTCTCCAGGAGACAGAGTACCTGTGTACCTGGACTTTGGCTGCTGGGTTGTAACAGAGGCTTGAGAATAAAAATCTAAAAAAATAAATGAATGAATATAATGTATTGCTTTTAATTATAAAGAAAAAATAATCATTTCCCACTCATAATTGTACCAGAGAATTCAGTTGAATCTGAATCCTCTACATTGCTAAAAAATTCTCAGAGTGATTTTTGCCCTGTTAGTTTTAACAACAAAAGTGTATCGGATATTTACCTAACAAATAATTTGACTTCTATAGTGACATTTTCTAAATATTTGTATTATCACAAAAAGATTTTTTTTTTTTAAAGATATACATGTAAGGTAAGATAACTGTTCCAGATGTTTGCCTCCAAGACACTTCTTGGTAACCTCCATTCCTACTGTTTCAGTTTCCACTTCTTACAAAAAGGCTCCACATGTTGCAGTTAGTGTTTTATCTGACTCCACCCTTCATCCTCAGCAGAACTTACTTGTACACACTGTTCCAGATTTTGCTGATCACTAATTCTTAGGAGAGTTCCTGGCCCCAGTCAAAGGTGAAAAATGAAGTTGTACACAAGCCACTCAAAACCACAGCCCTGAACTGACTCTTCAAAAGATTTTCTGGAGGAAAACACTTTGTATCTCATTACATATATCCTGTTGCTACAGAAACTGACATCTCTACTGTTGTCTTTTAGCTTCATATCATAGAGCCTGGAAATCCCCCAATGTCCCCTTACAACTTACTGGGTAATTAAAAAAAAAAAAAAAATTCACCTAAAAAAAACATAGTAGAAGGTCTTGGATGGAGGATCATTCTATGAAAAGAAAATGCGTGGAAAGATTTAGCAGGGAAAAAGAAGAAAGTTACTTGATAAAGGGGAAAAGAGATAACACTATAAAAGGGTATGTCTGGATTTAGAAGGGTGACGAAAACCTGAATATGGTTAAAAGGGAAACACAATTAGGCTACTTTTCTGGTGTAGACTGACAAAAATCGTTGAACAGAACATTTTAGGAATTTTCAAGGGATGAAATATTGAGAGGAATCTTACTTTTTTGAAGTGTCTGTGACATACCAAGTCCGTTACATGGTTTACCATTCTTCGTACTCATAGCCACCCCATAAGGGAGGTTTTGTTACTTCTATTATATTAGTTCAAGTTAATATGAATTAATATGTATAATATGGCTCAAAAAATGTAGGCATATAATAAGCACTATAAAAATGTTTGCTGTCATTAATATTTTACATATAAAAAATGTGAGACCAAGAATACTTAAATAATTTGTAACTTGTGTAAGATCACACAGATGGTAAGTAGCATACCTAGTATTAGGACCTAGAACCTAGTCCTAACTATATGATTACATGAGATCTTCTCAGTAGAACTCAAGTCACATGTCTGCTTTAGATTGGCTGAATGGCCCAGGAAATAAGATCCTTCTCTAATATGTCACTTATGGAATAGAATAGAACTAAAAAAGAAATCATGCCTATGTCATAGAGTGAATAACTGGAAATAAAATTATAAAGTAGAGGCTAAATATAACTAAAATTAAATATTTTTCTAATGTGATTCAATCTTCTCAATAATTCTGAGTAAAAAGAAATAGAGTAAATAGAGTAAAAAGAAATACGGACTGGATGTAACTGAATCCGAGGCCACCATTTAGATTATCAAATCACAGAACTTAGGAGCTAAAAGGATCTTAGAAAGCATTTGCTTTAGTCACCTTTCATTTCACAGATGATAAAACCAAACCCCTATGTTGACATGACTTTACCAAGGTCTCATAACTTCAAAATGCTAAATTATTATTACAATAAAGTAACAGGGCCAATTTTTCTACTTGGAAATCTCCCTCTTAACACCATGAGTTCAAAACTAGAAAAAATATAGTTTTACAAATTTAAATTTCCAGGTCAGATCACAGATGGTAAACAAAACAATGCTTGACTTGTTCTTCATGGGAAGGTGTGAAAAAGGGATATAGCTTTAACTGTACATACAGTTTCACTTTTGTATGGTATACCTGCGTGGAGAAAGCAACACACCTTCAACTGAAAACCACGATGCTAGCAATACCATTTTAGAAAAACAAACATTTGTGTATATACTGAGTTTAAATTTCCAGAAGTTCGTATATGTGGCATTAAGTTGTGGAAAGTACACAGTTACACATCACTGTAAATCATGAAAACATTTTTTCTCCTTCCTCCATTTTGCACATTCCTAGCAGAGGTAGCTCATCTTATGCATTTATCAAGGCCTCTGATCTATTTGGTCTCCAAGAGACAGAGTACCTGTGTGCCTGGGCTTTGGCTGCTGGGTTGTAACAGAGGCTTGAGAATGCAGGCTCATGGTGGTGTCCCACTCATCATCCAGCATGTCCCTCGTGCTGCTGTACTTGGCGTGCATCTGGATTCCTGCAGGGGTGAGATTGAGTTGTGGCCAGATTGTCCCAAGATGCCTGGCTACTGTGAGCCAGTTCAGGAAGCAAGGCATTGAAAGGCATTCCTAATGTTTTTTCCCCCAGCAAGTAGCAGGGGAAGTCTCTGACTCCAGTTCCTGCCTGGAGAGGCCCAACCCCTCTCCTGTGAGCTTGTACTCTGAATGCCAAATTGGTCAGGCTGTGAGGAAGCAGCATGTGTTTTCTGTGTGGGCGGCCTCTTTCTAAAGAGTTATCACAAAAATGTCCCTTCTCAGGTTTCTCCTGTTTATCTTTTTGTATTTTTTATGTAACTACGGTGTAAGGAAGGCAAGACCTTACAATAGCGCAGTGGTTCCTTCAGACTCTGCAGGGTAATAGTCAGGAGGACACATATTCCCCAGTTTCTTCCCTATCATACATGTAGTCAATTAGACTAAGTTAAACCTCTTCATACCTTTATGAAAAGAAGAAAAGCTATAGAACCTAGCCTCTTTCCTTCTCCAAGGGCAGAGTGTAAAACACTGAATACCTGAAATGCCGGCACCACAGAGTTCTCTTAAGAGCATCTCATTAATTTTACTCTTTCATTTTACAAAAATGAGGATTGAAGCTCAGCTATGGGTAGGGATTTGTCCACAGTCTAATAATCGGTGAGTGAAAGTAGATTTAAACGTACTCTCCTATTGTCTATTTAGTGCCCTTTCTTCTTATAGTACCTTAACTTGATTTAACATGTCATGGTACAAACATTATTATCATGAGAAATTACACATTTCCTTTTCTTTCTTTCTTTCTTCTTTGTGAGACAGAATCTCGCTGTGTGGCCCAGGCTGGAGTGCAAGAGCGCTACTGTCGCTCACAGCAGTTTTGAACTCCTGGGCTCAAGGAGTGGGAGTCAGAACTTTTCAAACTATTACTACCCATCGTGTGGCTTTGGGAATCCAATTAACAATGTGTCCCTGAATTTACAAAACTGAGAAAGAAAGCAGAAAATTGTTGCAGATGATGTTGAAAAAGTCTTCCTGAATCAGCACAATAGAATTATATTACTTATCTTAGTCTTTTTTTGCTGCTACAACAGAATACCTGAGACTGGGTAAATTATAAACAGTGGGTATTTACTTCTCAGAGTTCTAGAGGCTGCAAAGTTTAAGATCAAGGCAATGGTAAGTTTGGTTGTGGGATAAGGGCTGTACTTTCTGAAGGAGAGGAGCATTATGCTTTCATATGTAAGAAAGCAAAGGTCAAGTTAGACAAATGCTTTTTACAAGAGACTAATCTCATCCAGGAGAGAGAAGCCCTCATGGCCTAAATACCCCTTAAATGCTCTACCTCTTAGTACTATCACACTGTCAATGCCTGAATTCTGGAGAGGACACATTTAAAACATAGCAAGGTGGTAAATACTATCTTGTGATTTTGGAATGCCAACTAAAAATTTGTGCCTGAATCTTCTAAACTGAGAAAGATATGAGAAGCTTGTTTTGGATAATGTCAAAAACTTATTCCTGAATCAGTACAATAGAATTATATTTCTCTACCCAAACTTTCCTAGATAGTGGTGACAGCTGGACAAATCAAGCATGCTAGGTATAAAGAGGTATCAAAATGCTTGAATGGGGGCAGACAGGACCCATAAGAGTTCTATTCGGAAGTATACATTATACATTCATATGTGTTTCAAGTTGTGTATTGTTCATCAGAATATTCTAAATTGAAAAGAATCCTCTTGTATAGTGCCATTTAAAACTAAGAAATCGCCGGGCTCAGTGGCTCAGCCTGTAATCCCGCACCTTGGGAGGCTGAGGTGAGTGGATTGCCTGAACCCGCGGGTTCGAGACTCACCTGGGCAACTTGGCGAGACCTCATCTCTACAATAAATAAAAAAAAGTAGCCGGGCATGGTAGCTCACGCCTGTAGTTCCAGCTACTTGGAAGGCTGAGACGGAAGGATCGCCGGAGCCCAGCAGGTCAAGGCTGCGGTGGCCAGGAGCAGCCACTGC